GTAGTATCCGTTATATCGCGAGACTGTGGCGGAACGCCCTCCATCCTAGAATGAGCTTCCGGAGGGCTTTCTCTCCAGCGGAACTACTCAGGCGATACGCCTCCACTTTATAAATAAGCGTTGAAGTCATGACGCATTTGGACCCGAGCCCAGGTTAGGCGAGTCTAGCAGGAATTGTTGCCCTCAGCTGTTTACGCCATTATTATTATTATTTTATTAATCATTAAATTATGTATTATTATTATTATTATTTGCGTATCGGCGCATTGTCACCAGGCTAACCCGATTAATTATGTGGTAACTCTGTGCTCCCCAGCTTTTTAGGTGGACTAATGACAGAGATAGGAGACAGAAATAACACACGAAAATGATCAACTAAACATAAGTGAGTTGATTCTAGATAGGGAATTCCAACTATCGTTCTTTCATATAATGAATCGAGCAAAGCAGTGCGCGAGTAAAGAATTCGAACGCTTGTGAAGACATGCTCTATGTATATTTCATCGTACAAACAGAAAAAGCATGAAAAAGTAGTCAAGAATAACCTATCGACAACCAAAGAATGGTTCATGAATTGTGGAAATGGTTTCACCTTCAACAGCTTGTCGAACGCATAAAGCGATTGCTTTGCGCACAGGACGATGAAGGCTCTGACGAGCACATTGGTCAAGGAAGAAGAATAAATTTCTCCTGCATTTACTGACATGCAAACTTCTTCGATCATCGCGTTAGAACGAAGTCACGAATACTGCCTTTCCAGTAACAACATGGCATTGTGATCACCTTTTTCAAGTGTCTCTGCGGGAGAGAGGCTAGCACACCCGGGTGTCTTGCAGCAACAGGAGTTGTGCTCAAGGGCGCGCACACCACCTAACTCAGCAGCTGCCATTGTGTACTATCACAGAACTTATGATTTACTTGGTTTTTAATGAGTGAGGATAATCTTTTGAAATTTGTCCTTCTTGGCAGATTTTTTTTGGGCAGATTATAAAGTCATAGTTGTCATTGTACTCTAAAAACTAACTTAATCCTCTGTTAAATTAATTACCACGAAATATACAAATCAACTTATAAAGGATAGTATGCCAACGTACTAGGAACGTCTGTTTTCTCAGTTAGTTATAAATTAAATCTGTGCGGCTTAAGTTGCGAGTAGTTAATACTCTTCTCTATAATAATACAAAATATCACTACCACACACACAGCTACGACTCACAGAGGAGTCATAGAAAACACAAATGAAACAATCTAAAATCCACTTAACAACACTTTAGTTCAGAGATATGTAGAGATTAGATACGTCTTCGTCTCAATAATCGGCGCCTCTCATGCGCATTCACACATTGCAACGCCTCGCATCACATCCCATCTTTATATTTTAACTCGCCTGTTTCCTTCAACTCTAGTAATTGCATAAACGCAACGGCTCACAAAACTTTAACTCAATCAAAAAATATACTATTATGAATTAATTAGATTATTAAGAGATTATAGATAAATACTACTCTTTATGAAGAGTCAGGCTGTCCCGGAAAGCGCTCTTTATTCTTGGGACGAACTAGAGAGAGAGATAGAGAAAGTGGGGCTCTCCGGGGTCTCCGACCGAGGATTCATTATTTCTTATATCACCCTCCTTACAAGAAAGTAAGTTACAGGAATTATTTACCAAAGAAATATGTGGCTTTTTTGAGACTTTACAACCTGGTTTGACGAATTCCCCAATCTAACCGTAATAGTCTTAGGTGAAGATATTCTGGTGCGACAATGGCAGATGTGTTATGCAGTGCTTGACATATATATAATATGATATATATGCCAAAAAAAGTTTCTAATGTCATGGTCGCGAGTCGCACATTAAAATTACCTGGGCACAAATATCCATCGTAGAGCCCTAAAAACTGTCGGTAAAATTATCAATCATTTCCCTAATTTTGACATATACCTAATTCTGTTTAGTAATTGATTCTCTATTGTAAACGGAAATAAATTTCTACTTACGATTCTAGTGATACTTAATGGCTTTTAAAAATATTGTTTTTCGTTTCTTCATTACAGACGGAATTTGTCGTATTTAATGCATAGCAAAATTTGCGACATACTGCTGAAAAAAAGTTTGAAGCGATCGCAAATTGATGAACTAACAATATCTGCTGAATAAGATATGGTTTCCCCAAACTTTAAATCTATTCAGGAGCTTGCCAGCAGAGATAAAAGGCTCGCTTTTGCTTCGGGCCTTGATTCAATCATAGAGAAAATTATTGTTGATAGATATATATATTTATATCCAATTTATACGACGATGTGAAAGATGCTTTTCCAGTAGAGTGTCGAGATGTCTTCCCGAGCCATACTAGTCTAACCCGTGGCACGTCTAGCGTCATGAGGCTAGAGAGGTCCGCGTTCTGTAGATTGATGATTGTTTTCCCCGTCAGTAACTGCGATGAAACATTATTCGTTAGTGTGTGATTTTCTATTTTTATTTCGGAGAGCGGCCGGTGTCCTATCTCTGGGTGATGAAGGATCGGCGCGATGCTACACGCCAGCTTTGCAGGGTTTCCCCTCCAGAGTATCTTCCCCAGCGGGGCAGGCTCAACCCAGAATGAGCGTTCGGTCTCCTGGGATATGTGCATTGTACGCTACGAGATCAAAAGTAATGCCGAACGAAAATGGTGGTTAAGGTGTGGTGTGTTTTACATGGAGGCGGGCTCCCCTCCCGTTATTTGGTGTGGCACTATCACCTCAAAGGGCTACCGTCTATACTCTCCTCGAGGTGCAGCATCCGTAAAGATTGGGCTGCGCCATTCCTCAAGAAAGAAATCAGCACCAATTGAACGTATGCCTGCTAGAGTGGAAGTTGTATGAAGGCTACAGGGGGTGAGTCCAACACCCCTATTGATTCCAGATTACGATGGAGGGCGCCAGAACTGGTAAGTCGCCTATTTTCAAGTGTCGACACTTTTTGATCACATAGTGTAGTGTGTATGTGGGATAGAAAAGAAGAATAACGGAAAATGTCGTGGGGAGTTCCGAGACACCGCTTGTTAAGGTATGCTCCGAATTCATCAAGTACATGATAAAAAATTAAGAAGCTCAAAAGATGCAATGTACTTTTCCCGCATTTTACGCTAAATTACGTGAAAAGTACCAACATTCTTCCTGAAAAAATTGTACCCATAGACTTTTTAAAATAAATTTTTTATCAGACAGATTTCATTAAGGGAAAAACTCTCCTATCTTCTAACTCTTAGTTTGTACGCCAGACCCGAAAACATCTACTAGACACTCCTTTTTCAATTTTAAAAGACAGGGCGTATTTTCAAGAACATCGAGGCTGCACATTCTCTTAAACGTCTGAACACTAATGCCAACAATAAATTAATAAGAACGATAAGCTATTTTTTTAAAAATTTGGAAATGAAGCAGAGGTTTGTGTAAAGTACCCTCACCAAAAATTAGCAAATATCGGTATCAAATTCCAAGAGCCGCGACTCAGCAATGATTGAGAAACTCATTTTGAGAAACCATTGGCCTGAAAGTATAACCGCCTGGCGTTGCGTCCCAGGCGGACCGGACAGACAGAGACGTTTTGGCCGCCTTCGAGTTAAGGACCCAGACAAAACATGAACTCTGGCATCTCTCCACGTGACTAGATGATTCTCTCCTTATTTAGCAACGCAACTTTATCCCTTTTTTAACGGGTCCGGCAAATGAAGAGTTCTCTTCTCCCCCCCCCG